TCACTGGGTTTAGGAAATTATGTTCACCTTTTAGGACAACATGTGGCAAGCATGGCAGAAATATGCCTTGAAAAATTAAACCACCTAATTAGATCTATCCCTAGTTATTTAGCCCATTGAAATAGTGAGTTCTAGCGAGAGATTAATCCCCTACCCACCCAGTAAATGGGCAATTTATATGATAATACAAGAGACCTTTACAATTCTGCAAAGCAGCTAACAGATGTAAAGAATATTCCCCAAATTATCATGTAACTCCAAATTCCAGCTTTAATGTGGAAAGGAAGGCAGGATGCACTGGTTCGTCTTATATTTTCAAGTATGGGTTATTCTCTAAGTTGATCACAAAGTGCAGACATTAGGTATGTGTTTTGCTGCAGTATTAAAGTGTGCCCCCAATCTTTAAAACTGGGGGATTCCTGGCATGTATAATCTTATGGAAAAGTGTTAAAATCTAACATATGGCCCATCCTAAATACCTACATTTTTTCCTCCTAAATAGAGATTATAGTGTTCATTACTTAATTTACGCATATTTACTCAGAAGCATGCCTGTGGATTACGTTACCCTGATTCTATGGGGAGTTAATATTCTTAAATTGCAATCCTTTGTAGTTATACTGGAAACCTAATGACCTAACTTAGGTCAGAACCATGTTTTATATAAATTCAAATCGATGGGTTTAAATATGGTTAACTGCACAAAATCATAGCTTTTCAGTTAAATGTAAATCTGATCCGAGTAATTCTTAATGCAATGTAACGTTTCGTAATGTTTTCATAGCTGATGGTCGGACACCGTACATCTCTACGACCTACCAAACCACCGAAGCTTTCAGTTGACAAGGACAAACCTAGGACGCGTGTTTATCCTTCTGTATAGAAAAGAGCACTACCCCTTTAAATTTTGTAGCCGCTCTTTTTTCTACTCATTGGTTAAAAAGTTCCTTTAGAGGCGTAGCTTTTAAAATCTGCCCAATTACTAAGCAGGATGTCTTTGAAATGCATCGATGCTGCCCAATACTAGAGGCCCTTAGTGAAGCGAGTAGCCCATGCCCAGGAAGCTAGCATTTTCGTATTTGGAGAGCTCGGCATATGCCATAGCTCCGCCCTTTGAAGCCTGAGCGACGCAGAGAATTAAGCCTTTTCCAATCAGCAAGGCCTCAAAGCAAGTGAGTGACAGGAAGATGCCCCAATTGGACTTTAGAAAGGTAAACGTTGCTGACCAATGGCAGAGTCAGAATTTATAAAGCGAGCCCTTCGGAAAGCCGATCAAGGTTGGCGGTAGGGCTGCTCATCCACTTCGCCGGTGGCCGCCATGTTGGGGTTCACGGGTCGCCGCTGCGCCTCTTCGGCCGCTTTTTTGCTGCGGGGGGCGCGGGGCGCGTCAAGTCCTCTCCAGGATCTGCTGCAGCTTCGGGGTGGCGTTGCTGCTGCTGCCGCTGAAGCCCGTAAGTGGTGGGCGAAGAAGAGAGGGAGCTCGAGGGCGGGGTCACCTTGCGGCCTAGTGGTGGGAGCTGGGCTAGGCTCGGGATGATTCCAGTCCGAGGAGTACCGAGAAAGGCATCTGCGCCGAGGGTGTCGCTTGGCCCAGAAGAGAGGCTGCCTCCCCATCTAATCCTGCCACGTCTCTCTGCGTTCGAGAAAGAGGAAGCGGGGTTCTCGCTTACCGGCCTGCATCGGGCCGCTTGCCTGTTTCAGCCTGTTGGGTTCTCACGACTCCCCGGGCCACGTGTTAGACTCGCGTGCATGAGCCCACCCGAATTCAGAACATGGTTGGATTCAGTGTATGTAAGGGGACGGCGTGTTGCCTGCAGCGCCTTCCTCTGACTCTGCAGAAAGCCAGATGCGGACTCCGCTCATTGATTGCGTGCCGGCGGTGTCGCCTCTTAGCGACCACATAGACGGGTTTTCTCCATGACGAGCTGGTCCTCCAGGCCTTGCCGACCCCGTTAGATACGGGGAAACGGTCGTTTCGGGTCTGGTCTTTCTGCACGGGCGGGAAAGCGCCTTGGTGCGGCTGCGCCGGCCCCACAACTGTCGCGGCGCATCCTGCTTTCAAGGTGGCCGGGGACGATGAACACTGTCGTCCGCCGCATCCGGAGAGTGAAGAAAGCGGCCTGGGACCGCGGAGCTGACTGCTCCTTTCCCGAGGACAAAGATGGCGTCCTTCGGCATGGAGCAGCCATGGGGAAGGGTTGCCGACGCGTCCGGGGCCTTTCAGGTCCTGGACGCGGTCGTCGTCCCCTCGTTTGTGGGTACCGTAATTGGAGAGCGTGGCGAAGGTGCCGCCTCTTCTCGAAAGAGGAGCAGGGCCTTCGGAAAGAAAAGCGCAGCAGAATGGCCGGGAAGATAAAACGGGATTGCCGGTGGTTCTCTGAGATCTCGGCATGACCCTCCTTCCACGAGTTTGCATGGTGCGTGAGACAATTTTAAATTGGGTATTTAAGGATTTCAATTAATAACAGGATTCAGGAACGTTGTACAAGAACTGATGTTTTATCTATGGGGTCGCAAGGAGTCGAAAGCGACTTAATGGCACATAATCAAACGTTGCTTGATCATTGGTTCCCTGCATGAGTGTGGGTGGATGAGACATCCTTTCTATAATCTGGCTGGGAGTGTGTACAAGCCAGGCTTTATGGGGAAGGGATTTTATCAGTAATTTGTTGTTAGTGAGGGGGAGCTCTATGGGCCTCTGCATTTTGAATTTCTTCAGAGCTTATAATTGGCCCTTGAGAATTCCAGCTGTGATAAAGAAAGGCTTCCTTCAAAGAAGTGTTTACCATTACTGGTCTCCTGGATGACCACTGCAAAAGCCTGGCGTTCTGTAGCTTGTAAAGGTGTCGCAGAAGCCTTGAAAGATCCAGGGGTTCTTAACATTCACACTGATGTAGCAAAACAGTTCTTTCTTTTAAAGTTTTTCTTTAAAAACTTGCTACTAATGCAGTGTTAGAATAAGATCCTTTCAGAACATAGGGGAAGCCTGAGCCTCATTTTCCTCCAGAGTTCTGTATGTGGGAGTGAGGGAACTTCTGTATTTGACAAAAATCTAATCTCTGACTGGATTGCTGCTTTGAGTGATTTTGCATAGTGCCAATGTCAGAATTACTATTATTTATAAAATGTATATGCTGGCCAACTCCCAACGACGTGGGGCATTTGGAATGCTGGAAATTAAGTTACAGACTGAAGTTCTTTGAAGTTACCCTGAAAGAGGAGAATCTCAATCTTAAAACTTCTTTTGCATATTTGGTTTGTTTATAAGTTGTTGAATATGAAGTTGTATAATTAAGCATCTAATTTGTCTGATGGTTGTGCTATCTTTTCTAGGTCGGAACTATGCTCCACAAGCAGCTCCTGCAGCTAAAGCTGGAGTTGCCACTGGACATATTGTGGCAGTCATTGGTGCTGTGGTTGATGTCCAGTTCGATGAGGCCCTGCCACCAATCCTCAATGCCCTTGAGGTGCAAGGCAGAGATACACGCTTGGTGCTAGAAGTGGCTCAGCATTTAGGTAAGTGTCATTGATAAACCTGGCTTTAATCCTGTTAGTGCTCCTTGTGATGATCAATAAAAATGACTTTCGTTCTTCTGAACGTAATGAAGCCATATTTATGATCTGAAAAGGAAGTTTAAATCTGTTAATCAGGAAGCTTTTGATGGCCCTTCAATGAAAGGCCAAGTAGGCTAGCAATATTGATTGGTATTGTGGACCAGTCTAACCTTTGATGAGCCTCCTGTTATGTCTCAAAGCTCAGTTTGTCTCTGAAGCTCTCAGATAAGAGAAAAGAATACTTAAAATTTTGCCTGTCTGACTTGGCATCCAATACCAGTTAATTTTTCAGCCAAAATTATTTGTGTTAAAATAATTTTCTTGACTCAATAAATTTTGCATATCTAGAGCTGGCATCACCAGTTATGTAACATGATAAAAGGTACATCATTTCTAAGAACAACCTTCTGTCAACTTCCCTAGAAGCTATTTGGATTCTTTTAGTATTTATTTTTACCATGGCGGTAAAATAATTTTTCCAATTACATAAGATATTTCTGTTGCTCAGGCATTGTGTTAGGGTAATGGCATCTGTTATGTTTTTTCTGTTGCAGGTGAGAATACTGTTCGTACCATTGCTATGGATGGTACTGAAGGTTTGGTGAGAGGCCAAAAGGTCTTGGATTCTGGAGCACCAATCAGAATTCCTGTAGGACCTGAGACCCTTGGCAGAATCATGAATGTGATCGGAGAGCCAATAGATGAAAGAGGTCCAATAACGACCAAACAGTAAGCATGAATTTGAGGGAAGACAATGAGGCAGCCATCATTCTTCATATGGTCGGCCTGCTTAGCTGGTATTCCTCTTCAACTAAGGAACATTATTTCAACTGCAGAATCCCATCAGTGAAATGGAAATGGAGAGACAACACCTATATACGCTGCTTTCCATGCCACTTCCCAAACATTTGAAGGGGCGAGAAAACAATTTCACACATACATAGCATCTGAATTATCTACCTAACCAGGAAAAATGGTCTTGAGAGTCATAGTGGATGGTTCAGTGAAGATGCGGACTTAGTGTACAATATAGTTGCTATGGACAAGGCACATTTCATGCTAGGGAACATGGAAAGGAATAGAAAATAAAAATGCCAACACTGTAATATGAAATATGACTCTGAAATATATGTCTGTATTAAGAGAAATATGTATTGTTTGGTTCACCTTGGAAAAGGATATACTTGACATGTGACCAATTACCTTTTTCAGGTTTGCTGCTATTCATGCTGAAGCACCTGAGTTTGTGGAAATGAGTGTGGAACAGGAAATCCTTGTGACTGGTATTAAGGTTGTGGACCTCCTTGCCCCATATGCAAAGGGTGGTAAAATTGGTAAGTTAAACCGGGTAGAATGGTGAGTTGAGTTTCCGGAGCTTCCTTGGATTTTAAATCATTAGCAGTCTCAATGTTTTACCTATACCTGGTACAGGGTTAGTTGTCTTTCCTTCATTGATGAGCAAAACTCATGACTTTCGTTCTTCTGAGATTGCTGAAGCAACTCTTCTTCTGAGAAGGAAAATGGGAAATTGTAAAGCAGCTCATAATCATTCTCTGGTACTGAAGCAGCTTTTTTCTTCAGGTCTGTTTGGTGGTGCTGGTGTAGGCAAGACTGTATTGATCATGGAGCTGATCAACAATGTTGCCAAAGCTCATGGTGGCTACTCAGTATTTGCTGGTGTTGGAGAAAGAACCCGTGAAGGGAATGATTTGTACCATGAAATGATAGAGTCTGGTGTCATCAACCTGAAGGATACCACATCCAAGGTAAGCAAACTAGTCAGGCTCTTAGCTGTGGCCCTAGGCTCTAAAAGTGCAATATGGGTTACCTTAATATGGTGTCTTGCTTGCACCAGAAATTGGCTGTTATTCTTGAGGGCATGCAGTTTTCAATTTCCAATTTTGATCTTGGGTCATATGTTGACAGTACTAGAGAAAGATCAAGGACTGAAGGGATTTCTAGTGCACCTGGAATATTTTGAACAAAATATGTAGTGTACAGGTATTATGAGACAATCACTCCATTGAAGGAATTACATAGGCTGGAAGAGGAAGTAAATTATTAGAAAGAAGCAAATCCACATTATGTTTCAGAAAGAAATTAGAGTTCATAGGATAGTAAGAATATAATACACCAATTCATTGTAATGAAGCTGGAAAATTTTAGCCCACATGCTAATGAGTGAGATAACTAATACTGTGTTACTTTAAGTTTCTTTGCTCTCCCACAGGTTGCACTCGTTTATGGGCAGATGAATGAGCCACCCGGTGCTCGTGCCAGAGTTGCTTTGACAGGCTTGACTGTTGCTGAATATTTCAGAGACCAGGAGGGTCAAGATGTACTGCTCTTCATTGACAACATCTTCCGTTTCACACAGGCTGGATCTGAAGTAAGCTTTAAACTAATTTGTCAATCAGAATGGAATGGATTAATGGTAGGATTCTGAAAAATGCTCTAGTGATTTCAGGTTGGTTTTTGGTCCACTCAAGGTTGCTTGTAGTATTAAGATTGGGATCTGCCCAAATTGGGGGCAATGGAAGCATGGATGGGGTGTCTAAGACTTTTGTATCTATAAACGAAGAGACCTTGTCAACTGCCAAAGATTTTAAGCATTTCTTCTCTTCCAGGTATCTGCCTTGCTGGGTAGAATCCCCTCAGCTGTGGGCTATCAGCCTACTTTAGCTACTGATATGGGTACCATGCAGGAGAGGATCACAACAACAAGAAAGGGATCTATCACCTCTGTGCAGGTAATTTGCTGTAAATATGTTTCTCCATTAAACTTAAATTTTCTACCAGTTCAGGGTGTGCTATGTTACTGTCTGATTTCTGGAGTGAAGGGAATTCTGTTTTCATCCCTACCATTCCCTATGGGATTTGATGCAACTGCTCCCCTCTTAAATAAAGAGCTGCACAAAGCTGCTAATGGTTGGCATTAAAACTGCCTGTACACCTGGAACGTTAATGTAGTAAGCCTTTTTCTTTCTCCCAAGGCCATCTATGTGCCAGCTGATGACTTGACAGATCCGGCTCCTGCAACCACATTTGCCCACTTGGATGCCACCACTGTGCTGTCTCGTGCCATTGCAGAACTGGGCATTTACCCAGCTGTAGACCCTCTAGACTCTACTTCACGTATCATGGATCCTAATATTGTGGGGCAGGAGCATTATGATGTGGCCCGTGGGGTGCAAAAGATCTTGCAGGTGAGTAGGGAGCATGAAAAACATGGAATAAGGAAAATGTTCCAACCTGTGAATGAGTGAACACTTTAAATTTTGTATTCAGAAAATTAACACATTTTTATAGCAAGTGTCACGGTTTGGTGATATTGCAAGCCAACAACAGAGCTGTTTGGAAAAGGCAGAATGTAGAGAGGATGGCATGTGGCTTGATCTATTCCACAGTGCCCTTGCTGTCTCAACTCACATCCAGGCTTCCTCTCTCTAGGACTACAAGTCCCTCCAGGATATCATCGCTATTTTGGGTATGGATGAATTATCTGAAGAGGATAAGCTGACAGTGGCACGTGCCCGTAAGATCCAGAGGTTTCTGTCCCAGCCTTTCCAGGTGGCTGAGGTTTTTACTGGCCATGCAGGCAAGCTAGTGCCTCTGAAAGAAACAATCAAAGGATTCCAACAGATTCTGACAGGTATGTACCGCAACAGAAACTGACAGCCCCTAAAGGTGCTTGGCACCTTGTTGTCACGTGTTCTCGTTGATAGTTTTCCCTATTCCAGTCATAAGGCATCTGCTGCATTGCAACCTAATTGCTTTTCAGGATGTGTGTATAGGCATATTTTCCAAGTTATTGTCTATTGGTCAGCCTACTGTCAACATTTTTCTATTCAGACTCAGGAAAATAATAACCTTCTGTAATGGAGCTATAAATAATTACAGGTAGTCCTCAGTTAACCACTCATTCAATGACCATTTAAAGTTAAGATAGCGCTGAACAAGTGGTACCTACGACCAGTCCTTGAAATTTTGGCTGTCCCAGCACTCTCGTGGTCATGTGATTATGGACTGGGTGCCTGGGAATCAGCTTGCACTTATGGTTGCAGCATCCCACCATCACATGATCACCATTTACGACCTTCCCTGCCAGCTTCCCACAAGTGTAGTCAATGGGGAAGCCAGAGAGAAGGTCACAAGTTCCTGCTGCTTTTTCTCCTGAGGAGCCCTTCTACGGTGCCTGCAGCACCCCCCACATCCCACAGCCTGTAGTGCACGCCTGGGTGCAGCACCGCAGCAGCCACCAGTGCACACTCCTGCACGTGGCAGCAGCCATCCCCAGCGCCACCGTGCTCATGCCACACCACAGCAGCCACTTACCCACCAGCCTGCTTGCAAACCGCCCAGGACTTGCGACTTCCTGCTGGCTTCCCCATTGCCTTTGCTTGTTGGAAGCTGGCTGGAAGTTGTGAGGAGATCCTTGCATTACAACCCACAATCCTCGCTTAATGATGGCAGTGGGGACTGCCAGGATTGCCGTCACTAAATGATGCGGTCACGTGACATCATACTTTGCAACCACATTGCTTAGAGAAGGAAATTCTGGTCCCAGTTACCATAATTGAGCAAGGACTACCTGTATAGGTAAGCCATGGTGTGCAGTTACTATTTGTTACTTAGATAGAATGGGCAAAAAAGGCATGTAATCTTGATCTCCTGTTTCCTCTAAACAATTTTGTTGGTTGCAGTTCTTGACTTTGTATCTGTCTTTGTAGGAGAATATGACCACCTCCCAGAACAGGCTTTCTATATGGTGGGACCCATTGAGGAAGCTGTGGCAAAGGCTGAGAAGCTAGCTGAAGAACACTCATGAGTCTACTTCTGAGGCAAAGCCTGTATGCTTTCAAATGTCCAGTAGTTCACATTGTTCCGCCTCACAGCTGGGGAGTTCTGCAAAATATTTAAAAGTTTCCAATAAACCATCTGGTACAATCATAGAAGTAGTTAATGGTCCTGTTGCAGCAGGAAGAGAAGCACGTGTGCTGTAGCTTGAAGCAGACTGAATTTGCTGACTCTGGGTTGGCTGACCAAGAGTAAGGGGTTTTTCTTGCTGACCGTATTGGAAAGCAATGTTGTACTTTTTAATTCCAATGTGGTGATTACCCAGAATATTCCACAGAGAGAATTGATGTAAAATGGATTGATGCAGAAAATCCTTCTACACTTGTAAAGATCATTCAAGTGCTGGCACTTGCTGATTCCTTCCTCCTCCCTTAAGCATTTGCCAAATAAGACAGATTAGCATAGTTAATATGCTGGCCTGCAGCCAGCCACTCATGCAGGCTCAGATTCCTTGAAGAGCAGTCCAGAAATTCCTCTGAATATTCTAGATAGTGTGCATTTGAATCTTGATCTCCCTGAATAGGCTTTTTTTTTTTTTTTTTTTAGTTCTGTGCTCAGTCATTGCTGACCCTGCAGTGACTGCTTGGACGAGTCCTTGCAGTTTTC